AGAGAGAGAGAGAGAGAGAGAGAGAGAGAGTACAAGCCACTGAGATACAAAAATAGAACCTGAAATACCAACGAGTCATCATTTTCGTTCTATATGACGCTAACAGGAAAAACAAAACGTCCGTGTTTTTGACTTGTCTGGAGTGCACGTCATCTCCACTTTCTTGTTTTTTTTCCGAATCGCTTGAACTCATCCCTTACCCCTCCTTTGTTTTAGTAGAGGTTTTACGGCGCTCGAAACTGCATAAGGTCATGTGATCACCAGAGGATTAGAGGTGTTACAAGAGAGTAACAAACATACAAAAGAAGGAGGGGAGATAAGGACGATAGATGTTTGATAGGAAAGAAGAAGCAAACCATACCAGAGCACCCGCCAACCTCCCACTCTCTCTCCCCCTTAACTTGAACTTCGTCCTCTTTTCCAGTGAACTTTCTGGTGTCTTTGTACTTTTTAAAAATTAATTAATTTTTTTGGGGAGGGGGGATGTTAGGGAGAAGGGGGGTGTCAGCACATGTTACAAAATTTTGAAGGCCATTTTCTGGCTAATTTTACTTATGAAACTAGGAAACCCTGACCTCCTTCAATTGCAAATATTTTAACTTCTATTCAACATAGATCGATGTTTTGATTTTCCCCCAAAAGAAGGCAAATGAACAGCCTTTAAGATGATACCAATAACCCCATAATAATGCCCAAAAATTGACGAGCGCTCGATTCCGCCGTTTTGTGACATAAACGTTCGCACAATGGACCGCGCCATTACATCCAAATGAAGGACAGTACACCAGTCTCGGTAAAGTCCACTACACGCTTCGCCTTCTCCACTTGTCATTCATTTCCTTGAAATAGTGCACTCTCGTGTGAACCCAAAATACATGTACATCATAACGCACGATCTAGGGTATTATAATACAAGTGTATTATGTTTGTGGCTGACATTTCCCACCACCTACCCATTCAGTTTCAGTTTTCGCGGACACCCACTTGCTTCACATTACAAACGATGGACAGTGCTGACTATGTGATAACTGCCTTGAGTTTAGTTAAGTAATATCACATTTGGTATATTATTTTTTCATCACTGCACAAATAGTGACTATTTGGGGAAAAAACCCCAACAATATTGTGGTCGACATTTAAGAAGATTTAATATTCTGTAATTTGACGACGGGTTGAGAAAAAACGAAAAAAAATTCCACAGTTCGTAAAAATCACACGCTATTCTAATTGCTGTGCCAAGCTTTGAACAGTTGTGCAATAGGAAAAAATGTGAAAGTCGGATAATAGCATTGAGTGGGAAAAGCTCTATGTGAAAGGAGACCACCTCTGAAACAAAATAAAACCTCGTATGAATCTTGTTTTCAGCAGCCTACGAAAAAAAACCCCCTTCTCGTAATATATATCGCAAAAAAAAACCACAACCAACACAACAACAAAAATATAAAAAAGCAACAAAAAAGCAAC